ACTTATAGATTCATAAATGGCCAGGGATTTCACAATAACTCCACGGTATCTGAGGTAATGCAACGTTTTGGTACTAATTGGCCGGTGGATTGGCTTCAACAATATCCTCAGCTGCATGGTGTTATGATTCCGGCTCCCAGTCAAGAGGACGATAAGGTTAGCTGGATTGATAACAAACTTTCACGGGGTGACTTTGAGGTAAAGAGGGCGTGGAATACTATCCAAGAGGTGMAGCCGGTTGTGCATTGGTCTAAACTTGTTTGGAATAAAGCTTACGTTCCTAAACATGCTCTTTGCATGTGGATGGCATGTCAGATGAAACTGCCAACTCAAGATCGTATTTGTCATTGGAAGCATGAACCGCCAGATTTAAAGTGTGTTTTTTGTAACCTTGTGATTGAAACGCACAATCRYCTATTTTTTGAATGCAAGTATTCCAGCAGTATTTGGGACGCTATTAAAAGGGAGGTGGGACTTCTGAATTTTCCTAACAATTGGGAGGATATTCTTCAGAGAGGGTCCACTCATAATTGGAGATCTCAGTCTACGGTTCAAAAACTTGGTCTTTCAGCAACGGTTTATCTCATCTGGAGGGAGCGGAACAGGAAGTTCTTTGCCAATTTCAATCWTTCGGAAGACAAAGTTATTACGGAGATCAAGATGCTGATTCTTCATCGAATGGCGTGGAAGACAAGGAAGAGGATTAGGAATCCTAATGGCATGTGAGCTCGTGGGTGGTGTGCTTTTTCGGTWTTGGCTCTTTTGGGTTTCGTTTGCCTTTTTATTGTTGGCTTTTGGTGTTGTTATGTTTTGGTGTATTTCCCTTTGTCTGTTTTGGCTCCTTATKACTTGGTTTGTGAGTCAAGGTTGCCGTAGTTTCTCTTGCTGATTGTATTGTTTGGGTGACTTTTTTACTGTCTTTATAAAATTGCCTGGGGAATCTTCCCCTTTCAGTATATATGCACATGTATATATAGGTAATGTGTGTGTATCATTTGGTAGCGTCATATTGTATATGTATGTATGTGTTTTATATATATGTTGTATGTGTCTATACATATGATTAATGTGCATATACTGTAACTAAACTTCGAAAACTCGATTGGATTTGGTTTATTACGTTTGTCATTTCATAACGTTTTTGGTCCATCTTCCTAAGAGTTGTTAACTTTTTTCGTTAAGTCCAATTAGATTTGGGGTATTTTAGCCATATTAAACATTTTTCTGTTAAGTCCATTTATTACCACACGGTTAAATGAGGGATATTTTAGTCATTAAATTATAGAGAAATATAAAAAATGACTAAAATACCCTTGATTTAATAAAACTTAAAGGAAAAAATTAACGACCGTCACAAGGAGAAATCAAAATCGTTAATCTTAATTATTTTTAATAATTTAATAATACAATAAATAGAAAAATGTTTAATTATTTATAATTAGTTGAAATAATTCAATAATTTCATAAATAGTAATTAATAATGAATTAATAGGGTGGTTGTTATAGGTATTTTATGACACTCTTTTTTCCTTCTTTTCTTGAAAAACTAAGAACCAATATA